CAGGATCATGCTGACCATGGGAAAATTAGATCCAGTCAGTCCTATTTCAGTAAACCATTTCTAGTTTGACAGCTGCTCTCCCCTCCTGCACAGCTGTGTGGGATCGCTGGTGAGCAGCGCTCTCTTCCCTCCTTTGGTCGCAGGCCTGCAGTGGTGGACAAGAAGGGAGACCTGGCCACACTCAACGAGGTTGGCTATCAGCTCCGCATCTGACCAAGCCATATGCCGGACAGAGGGCGTCCCTGGTGCTTCCTGCTGCACTTTACCCACACTCCATTGAAAGGAAAAAGGAATGGGACTATTTGTTAACGTGTGGACTCCTATAAGAAAAAAGTTTTATCTAGAAAATAGAAGGGAAATTTTTTTTTTGGTGGCAGTGTTTACTTTCTTTCAATCTACAGAAAAAGTATCAGTGAAGAGAGCCTAAAGTTCTGTTTATCAGGATGTAAGGTTTTTTTACCTCCATCATGTAGCAGGTGACTCCAGTGGTGTGAGAGTTTCTTCAAATATAACTTCCCTGTACAAGATTAATTGAATTTGGGCATTGTGCAGGGTAGTACCATTAGGATAACGAAGAAATCATATTCTTGGTGTTAAGATGTGCTGGGGTGCAGCACAGTGTAAAAAATCATATTCAGTATTAATATTTAATTCAGCAATAAAACCAAGCAATGCAGAAATGGTGTGAGTTTTTAAAGTATCAACATTACCTCACTAAACTTAACAGATATGCAAAACTGTCAGTATTGTTTTGTAACTAATTTGTACTGTTTCCCAGCATTTTTGGTAGTATTAAAACAGCACTGGATGTTTTACTGCCACCTGTATTATTACTTTGTGCATGTTGCTGAAAGATGGTAAATAATAGTAATATGCAAGTGTATTCTTAAACACTGACATCTTATTAGGCAAAATAGGAGGTTTTGTTTTTTTAAACGATGATAATTGATGAATAATGAATTTTTAAACTTTCAGAGTTTTTTTATACTTTGTCACAAGCTTTTAGTCTTTCTGGACTACACTGCTGAAGCACAAACTGTAGAGATTGCTGTTTTGTAGAGACAAGTGTTCATCTACACTAGTCGGTTTGTTTCTTATGTATGTTCTTGGAATAATGGAAAAAAAGTCAGAATTCCTAACCTGAGTCTATATGGTTTTTCTTTCAACATGTTAATTTGAACCTTCCCTTTGAAAGGCTGAGCAGTCTCAGATGGTGATGCCTTGACATCTTATATTAAGATAGGACATTGCAGGCTGAAGCTGTTAACCTTCCACCGTGCTGCTGTAGGGAGTTTTTCCTGTAAGTATTGTAGTAACAACAGCTTAGTCAGCCCTGAATAAGGAAGCTTGTAGTGGAACAACTTCAGCAATAAATTAAATTATGTCTGAAATAGCTGAAAATCAAGCTGGTCTGCTTCCTCCCTACTCAGTCCTTTTGCTCTAAGACTTAGCTAAGGACCTGTGACGGACAACAGTGTTCTCAAGTGACATGGCAAGACTTTCATTGGGGTTCACTGTTTGCATTAGTGCTGCATTCCTGTAAATATTTAATTTGGTGCCTAAACAGAAACTGGATTATTGTACAAGTCCAGCCTCTACCCTTTGTGCTGTGCGTATAGATGATACTGCCATCAGCCTCGTGTACCTCCCCTCCTGGGCACTTGCTTTTTTGGGATCTTGACAAAGACAGGACACTGTAATATAGTTTCAATAATACTCATCAGATGATTTAAGCAATTTGAGCTCCTATAACACTTCCATCAGCCAGCAACTGAATGACTACAGAAGGAGATGATCTCTTGTACATAGACCTTATCGCTCAAAAAAAGTCAATGAGTCTCACCTGCCTACTACAGGAAGACAACACCAAGACCCAGCAAACCTCCTCCAAACAGTAAAAGGCTTTCAACTACTCAGACTTCAGAAGGTCTAGAAAGAAGACTTCCCAAATGTATTATACTACTTTATACAAGACTACCATATCAATTACTGGGAGGCCTTTCCCATCCTTCTTTCTGCAAGCTTCTCCACTCCTGTGTTCACAATAGGAATTATTTCTGGTTCAGAAGTGAACTTGAAGAAAGGGAAATACTCTTTTGGTAGAAATTCTGGTGTAATTTTACATCAGCTGCAGAGTTTGTTTTAAACTTGGTGCTGCCCAATGTCTTGTGACCTAAACAATTTTTTTATGTATTCCTGAGATCTCTCAAGGGTAAAATGATGTGAAAAACTTACTGATCAGCTGTATCCTGTAGCACAAGTTTATCAGATACGTTGCCAGGTTTTTTTTTTCCCCATGAAACCATCATTTACTTCAGATCAAGTAATGGTGGTTAGTATATAGGTTTTACCTTTGTCCAACACAAATTGAGTTATTTTGTCTTAACCTTTAACTTATACTGAAACTTTTAGTGCTGTAGACGTGTGTGACAAATTGCTTTTGATTCTTGTTTTGAAGTTCAGCTGAAATATTCTCTTGAAAGTTGCTTATGATGGCATTTGTCTTAAGTGTGGTTCTAGTGACTGTTCTAACTTACTGCAAACTGGTCAAATAGTGTAGAAAACATGCATGACTTTTTAAATCACTTGTATGTTTATGCACAGCATGAAGCTTCAATAAAATATCTTGTTAGTCTTTTTTTTTAAATGACTTAGGGTTATTTTTCTGTCCTGTCCAGGTTTTTCTTCTAGAAAAAAACCTAAGTAGTTCTAGCATCATTTTTTTTTTAAGATTCTTACCTACCTTATTATTGTACAACCAAACCCCTGAACATACAGCCCTACAGCTAACCATTAATATGTTATACAAAGAAAGCCTGAAGCAAGTCTCTAAACCCTGAAAATACATTATTATTGAACAATAAACGCTCATGACCTGGCGCCACTAATGACTGCATAATGACAAGCAGCTTCTGCATTTGTCTTTCAGTAGTACCTTGTCTCTTTCCCCATCAAAATGAGGGAAGACACTTGAGGGGCAGTTTTCCCTTTCATAAAGGAAAGCAAATTATTCTAGTCCTTTAATAATAACACACTAATGAAGTAGAACAAATACATTTTACTGCCTTAATGGTATCATGTGGTTACCAGGGAAGTGGAATATGTTTTTCAGAAGGACATCTTTACCACCTTGAAGGATGAGGCCATTTTAAAAAAAAAAAAAAAGTCACTACACAACAAATGGAGGAAAGCTCCTCAGTCATGCTTATGTGAAAACCAGCTCCCTTCCAAATTCCAAGCAATTTCAGCTTAATGTTTTGAGAGGTAGTTGTATTTTTCAATGTAACACCAAAATACCTTTTCCGAGTCAACTGGTTTTGTGACTGCTTCCACTGTACTTACCGTGTTATTCTCAAAGCATGAGGTAATTGCAGTTGTAATTCTGCAGTCAGGAAAAGGAAAGCCAGATGAAAATTCCAAAAATTAGGTTGGAGAAGAACAAGCAAGCATTTCTGGGAGACATATGCACCTGAATGTGATTTCAGGAACACGACTGCAGGTTTTCCAGTACTGACAGACAATTCTCTAAGCATTACTTTTAAGCCAGTTTCCCATATGTATCCATATGTAGTTTAACCACATTTTTCTCTTCTGTAAGTCGTATTTTGCAGAGTAACTGTTGTGCATTATGATAGTAAATATGAAGTCTTGATCACTTAATACCTCAGCATCTGTCACTTCAATATAAAACTTGACACTTTTAATAACTAAATGGAAAAACAGCTTTCCCCAGTTGTTCAATATAAATGAAACCTCAAGATGTCGAGGACTGACTTTTTTTTTCCTATAGTAGATCAATTAAGTTTCCCGTAAGTTTTCAAGCTCATTAAACTTGGTTTTATTTCAGATACTTTAAAAAAGATTCCAATGAATGCTACCTATATTTAAGCTTTTAGAAGTTAAAGTAGTAACTTTTTAGAACATCAATATCTGCCTTACTGCAAAAGCTAGCTTCTTCCTTTGGAAGTCAAATCTTGCGCATCTGCACTGACTACATTTTAGTTAACTGAGGAAATCCCTTTGTAGAAGTGTTTAGATGGAGGTGTCCACAGAGCAGCTCTGTAGTATAACATGACTTTCAGCTCATTCTCAAGCGTGGCATGCACAAAAACTCACTCCCCTTTACCTGAAGAAGCACACAGTTCTCAGAGAATAATCATTTTTACTATGACTTACAATGAAAACCATTTACAGCATCTCAGTGAAAAATAATGCCATTCAGACTGGCACAGATGTTCTCCATTATCAAACAGGAAGCTAATGTAAAAATCTTTTCTTTTTTGCCTTTAAAGACTTAATAAAGTAACTTAAACATTTTTAAAAAGTCTCTTTAAAAAGTCTACTTTACACAGCACTAACAAATCAGCATGCATGCAAACTTATTTAAACCGGACCAGCAGTGCTTGAATTAACCTTTTAAAAAAAATAACCATGTGAAAAGAGAAGGTGAAGGTAACTTTACCTACACAAAAAGTCCTTTGGATATTACCGTTCAATAAGCCTGAACTGTGCTAACAATGGCAGGTGGTCAGAAGAGTTGTGTTCATTGGGAAGACCATTCACAGTCCAAAGATCTTTCTCCGTTAGAAGTGCCAGCCTGCCAAGAAGTTTCAGACCTCCATGAAAAGAATCCTCTGCTCCTAGTAAAACAAAACAAAACAAAAAAACCCAAATAAACAAAAAAGTGGAAATGTTCATCAGCATGGGCTAAAAATCCCACATTCATACATATCACAGAATCACAGAATATTAGAGGTTGGAAAGGACCTCTGGAGATCATCTAGGCCAACCCCCTCTGCCAGAGCAGGATCACCTAGACTAGATCACACAAGAGAATATGGAAAAGGAAGAAAACCTTATGGCAGAAGTGATCTGAAGTAATGATTGTTCCATGCAAAAATCAACAATAAGGCAGTTCAGAAATTCTTCTTGTGTACTATTACTCTCTCAGTAGAACTTACAATATATGAGCTCAAAGTACTCAGAAAGACACTACCCTCTCCATTCTGTGGAGGGATAAATTGAGGTGAAAAGGGAAAGGGATTGATTTGTTCATTGTAACTCCCCTGAAAAAGCCTCACAATCCAGTCCTATATTCTAGCACAACAGCATTGCTAAACAGAGCTCACACTCGCAAAATTCAGCATCTTTTGAGAGTTACTGGTTCACATAATACTATTTCTGCATCCTCAGGTACACAGTTCTCTAGCAGG